TGTGCCTTTGTGGTTTACTTTTTGGGCATGAAAAGCTGGTTCCTCTAAGCTTCTGGTTCTCTCTTTTGACTTTATATTGGAGTGGCCAGATTGCTTTTGTCTTCAATTGTTCCCACAGAGGCCCAAGTAGATGAGGATCAGATGCTCTCAGGCTTTTCCTAAGGTCTGGATTCCTCCAGGAACGATTTTGGCCTCAGGAATTTGGGGGTTGGACTGGCCTGGGAGCTGGGCCCAGGAAAGATGCAGAAAAGATGCTGGTCTAGCACAGCTGATAGCTGTGATACTCAGAGATGCAAAGGGGGGGGGCGGGAAGAAGGCCCCAAGGGCTCCTGGGGACTGCACTGAGGAACTGTGTTGGTCTGGATGCAAAGGAAGCATTGGTGGTTCCCCAGCTGTTTGGGTCACCAAGACAAGGAATGGGACAGGACCCAGGCTAGGATGAGAGACAGGTGGGGGAGATGGGAGGTTGATTGAGGCTGTGGGAGTCAAGGTGCGGAGGGCATGGTGGACTTACCCAGAGAGTGGCTGTCAGGTGGTGCAGGCCCAGGGAAGCAGAGGGAAATGAGCAGAAATGAATTCTTAAAACGTTTCTTAAGAAATGTTTACAGGAGAGAATGTTTTTCAGTAAAATTTCATGTCGTCTTCATATTTTGTGAAGGAAACTGGCATTAGCAGACTACAAATGCATATTTGTACAAGCACAGATGACATGCAGGCTCCACTCCATGACCCTCTGTGTAATGGTGGAGTTCAGATGGTGGCCACACTGATTGAACAAGGCAGCTGCTGGCAGGGTGAGGAGGGGGTTACACAGGCATCACATGAAACACTGTATGTCCTATTCCCACAAAGACAGCCGAAGTGGACCCTCTATTCGGAGATTCCTTCTACCACATTTGCTAATTTAAGTAGAGTCCCTCTACATTGTATCAGTAATAATTATTGTTTGTTGAGGTGAACATTTCTCTCTCTTACTAATATTGAAAAACATAGAATTTGTAATGAAGAAAGATTACTTGATTAAAACCACATCAAAAGTGACATTTGTATTCAATTAAATATCACAGAGAATAACTACAAATATTAAGGATGTTGAAAATAGATATTGTCCTGATAGATGCCATGTAATGGGATAAATTACATGAAGAATCACTATTTGCTCCAACATAGCCTTTTTAATGAAACAGAAACATAAGCATCTGATTGCTAGTTGTATTCCTGAGCCTTAGCTTTGTTTATTAATTTAGGTAAAAGTTTGAATTTGGGGCCAGGCGTGGTGGCGCATGCCTTTAATCCCAGCACTTGGGAGGCAGAAGCAGGCAGATCTTTGTGAGTTTGAGGCCAGCCTGGTCTACATAGTGAGTTCCAGGACAGCTGGGGCTACAAGGAGACCCTTTCCTCAAAAAAAAAAAAAAAAAAAAAAAAAAAAGATGAAAAAAAAAAGCGTGAATAGGCTGGTGTGTGTGTTCTTAGAGAGAGTGAGGACTAAAATGGCGATTAGACTTTGCTTAACAAAAGTGCTTTCTCTCCCTAAAGTAGAAGCATTATCATTAGATAATTGCCTCACCCCAAATTGGGCCTAATATTCCATCTTTAGGCTCACATGCACCTGACACAGAACTAGCATCAATGAACATTTGTCTAAAACACTGTCATGTAAATATTAATTCTTCTCAGATGCAAACATTTTATACATACCTTTTTGGGGATAAGCTTTCCTTACTGTATTTTAATTTTTAAATGCTTATTATCTAAATCTAATCTAAATTTTTGTTCAACTGGCTATAGTTCACCTTTGTTATCAAGTAACAGAATATTCTAGTATAAAATTTGAATGATTCTAGAAATCAGTTCTGACAATTTTAAATATAAGCTTGAGATTGTGCAGCAGATTTTTAAATGCATTAATCCATTCATGAGAGGATTAGAAAACTCCACCTAATGCTATAAAAATTCCTGACAAACATTTAATAGATTATTCCAGAATGATAGCTCAGGGACATTGCAGACCTTGAAACAAAGCATGTAACGGAATTTTCATGTATTATTCTGATTCTTACCTGATCCTTCTTCAAGTCTAAATCTTAACTTTATCTAATGAGAACTCTCAAAATAAAAGGGCGTTTTCCTCAGCACTTAGAGTTTTCTTCTGTGTGTGTATGATGTGTGTATGTGTGAGCGTGAGGACCCATGTGCCACAACATGCATAAGGAGGTCAGAGAACAACTTCTGGGAGTCTGTTCTCTCCTTTCACAGTGGGTTCTGGGGTTTGAACTCAGGTTATCAGGCTTATGTTGCAAGTGGTTTTACATTGAGCCATCTCACTGGCTCTTTTCTACTATTTTAATATAGAAATTATCATTCTTTTAACTGTGACTATTTTCTGATCTTATTAAAGAATGAAAAATCTCACAAAGGGTAAATTCTTAATTATCTCCCCTAAAACAATCTCATTTGACCACTTTATATTATATACAATATATAAAATATAGAATAATTATATATTTTCAATTAGCATTGTATCAAAAGATCACATTTTAAGCCAGGCATGATAGACCATGCTTTTAATCCCAGTACTTGGGAGACAGAGGCAGGTAGTAATTTGTGACTCCAGTTTGGTCTACATAGTGAGTTCCAGGCCAGCTGGGACTACAGAAAGACTGTCTCAAAACAAACAAACAAACAAACAAACAAACAAACAAACATCACATCTAGAAAGTGGAATGGGTGGCCCATCCTCTGATTCTATGATAAAAGGTTAATTCAGATAAAGATTATTTTTAAGATGCAGTCATTTTAATTATGAAAATTCTATCAATGACAGAGTGCTAATTCCAGTATTTTTCCAAAATAAAAGTTCTGCCCTATAACTTTTGTCTTATAATAATGTCATATCTTGGACGTATTGCTAAGAATACAACTCAAACACATGAGGTGAGCGATATGAAGGCAGAAATGAGGCAACGTGCTGGTTTGAAGTAGGTCTAGTGGGTACAGGACTAGTGAGGGGCAGCAATATTAGGTTTGCTTTTAGGGACTCAGGACAGGTTTTCCAGTGATAAAATACTGTATGAATGACTTACATATGACCACTGGATGGGCTCCAGTGGATGCCTTTACACTGAAGGACATTTGGGTACAAACATCTGAACGACTAGGACTCAGCATGTATGGCAGAGTGCTTAGGGTTCGGTGGGAGGAGGAGAGGGAGAGGCATAGATGAAGAGGGGGTCTGGATTTGAGTGGGAAATGTATGAAATGTAAAAAGATCAATTAAAAAGTGAAAGAAAACCCTCGAGTTATATTGAAATTGTATCTATCAAATATATTAATAAAATATATCCAAAAATCTGTTATGGGAAAAATAGGGCTAAATAATCAAATGAATAAGACTCAATTTGAGGTGGAAAAAGAAAAAAATACTGAAGTTTGGAATTTCAAAAGTGAGAGAATGCTATTCTCAAGTGGTATGAAGTTGGTTACAAAATTAGCTCAATGAACTGACATGTTTTTACGTCCCAACTATGTATGCATCAGATTTGCTTCTAGGCGGGGGAATAAAACAATAAAAACCAACAAGGAATGGGTGAGAGGGTAGAACTGTGTTGTTTGAAGTGTCTACAAAGACGCTCTTGGAGTGAGCAGTGGGTTGTACAGGGCTAGAGTCTAAGGTGAGGTCAGGATTTGGGGAGTGTAAATTTGGTAGAGGAGCAGTATTTAAGGGAAGATAAGGGTGCCGGTGTGCATTTATGTGTTTGTACACGTGTGTGGAGGCCAGAGGTCAATGTTGCATGTCCATTCATGTGTCGCCTTCCACTTAATCTTTTAGATTCAGGCTCTTTCACTGAACCTGGAGCTCATTGATTGGGCTAGGCTGCCTGGTCAATTAGCTCCAGGGACCCACCATCCCAGCCTCCCAGCATGGGCACTGCTCTATCACACCTAACGTATTTTTTCATAGGTTCTGGGAATCTGAGTCAGGTCCTCATGTTTGCTCAACAGACAATTTAATGATTCAGCCATTTCCCCAGCCCAGTGTTTATTTTTAAATCAATGTTTTGGTTCGTGTACAAAGTAGTAGGCTTCATTATGGCACTTTCATACACTTCTGTCACTGGCCCTTGTTTGAGCTCCCTACGCCCTTTCCTTTGTCTCCCCTCTCTCTTCTCCCTTCTCCCAAATAGTCCCCCTTCTGCTCTCACATTAATTTAATTACAATAACCCTTAGAAATGAGAAAATCGAAGCATGTAAAAGTGTAAATAACTTGCCTAGGTCCCAGATCTTATACGTGAAAGAGCTGGGCTTGTCACCCAAGCAGTGGGTTTCCACGTTAGTGCTTTTAATCACTGCATACTCAGATTAACACAGAGTGTGTGAACACAGTTGGAGAATATAATTACCCTAAAAAATGATGAATCAGATTCATGATCAAAACAGCAATTATAACCAGAGAAAAAGTCTTTTTCATACAACGTCTAAAGGAGACCCTGGGCAGCAGAAGCTAAAAGTGGTATTACAGTCAGTGCATTTTACTAATCATGTTTCCTGGGAGGCTGTGAAAGCCTCACTCTGAATTTCCTGTGTATTCACTCTTGGGATTATCGTTTCTTCTCCTGGGTGGGGCTTAATGGGGAACATCCCACCTGGGTTAAAAAGAGACAAGAATTTAGGCAGACAGGAGGAATGCCAGGCATAAACCAATAAGGTGCCAACAGTTTTCATGGAGTTCTTTTATGTTTAAATCTTTTCGTTTCCCCTCAAATCCAGTCACTTGGAATCCTGACTGGCAGACATGAACCAGCATCTGAAGCGTGTGAACCCGTGCCCTCGAGGCAGACCGGCAGATAAGGGTTCTAAGAAGCATTCCCAGTCCCATCCTTGCCTTGTGCCTGCCTTACACCCTGTAATCTGGGCCACTCTACACATTATCCTGTATGATGGGAGCATCCAAGAGCAGACCTGAAAGCCTGCAAGTGTCCCCAAGAAGCCACATGCTTACCTTCCGGTTGTAGATGTCGCCAAGCATTGTGCATGCTCTTATTACATCCAGGCTTTTGAAGTTGTTTCTTGCAATTTTCACAACTTTCTCCAAGTATTTAATTGCTTCTGTCATTTCTCCTTGGCTAGAATAAATAAAACGGGAAACCATCAGCATGTCATCTCAATGTTGCTGTGAATAGGAGATTTGTGTCTTTGCTATGGAAAATCCAAGGTGTTTATCAGGAAAATCAGATTCGAAGTAATAATATGCATTAACAGACACGTGGCTTGTCCTTGTTGGAAAATTCACTGTGTTAAAACTCAAAGTTTTAAAGCCTCAAGGATTGTGAATGTGAGTGTAAAATGGCACAGCTGCTTTAGGAAATAATTTGGCAGTTCCTCCAAACCCTTAATATAGACACAACATATAACCCAGAAATTCTACTCCAAAACATACAACCATAAGTCACACCACACATGTCCACACAAAAATTCACGTTCACAGCAACAGTAATTAATTCAGTTCATGAATTAATCAAACGGTGGTATGTCCATACAATGGAATATTATTCAATCATGGAAAGTGTTGACACATGTTAAAACATGGATGAAATTTGGAAACACTGAGAAAGAAGTTAGACACAGAAGATCATATATTGTGTGATTCATTTTACACACATGAAGAACAAGCAAATCCAGAGACGGAAAGAGACTGAGTGAGGGGAATGAAGAGTCCTAATAATCCAGACAGGGTTTCATTTTAGGGTGATGGGAAGGTCCCGACATAGATGGTGATCATGGTTGTACAGTTCTGTAAATATACTAAAGCCACTGAACTGTAAAATGTAAAAGAATTCATTGTATGATGTATGCATTGTCTCAATAGGTCTTTCTCTGTTTTCTTCATTAGACAGGGTCTTACTATGTATCCTTGACTGGCCTGGAACTCACTATGTTAACTAGGCTGGCCTTGAAGTCACAGAGATCTGCCTGTCTCTACCTCCTGAGTGTTGGAGTTAAAGGCATGTGCCACCACGCCTGGCCTCAATAACTCTCTTTATGAAACTTTAAAAAGGTGTATAAAAAATAAATGCTGTTCTTACAAGCTTTGCTCAGTAGCAAAATCTTAGGTGTCACTGAAGTCACAAGCAGCATATTATATATTCCGGCAAAATACTCAAAAAGACATACTTTTAAGCAAAGTGCATAGCATATACCAGGCATTTAGACACCTTGAAGGAAGGAATGAATGAAAGCTGTAGAAGGGACATACATAGCACACATTGAAGATGAACAGCAAGGTAAACTGGGAGAATTTAGCCATGGGGATGTTTGGGGTTCATGACTAATTAATTTCAGTAGTAGGAACAAACTTCATGGGTTGGGGATGCAGCTCAGTTGGTAGAGTGTCTGCATCGTGTGCACAAAATCCCAGGTTCATTCCCCAGTATCAAACAAACTGTGTGGAACAGGCCTGTCATCCTAGCACTTGAGAGGTAGAGGCAGGAGGACCAGAAGTTCAAGGCCATTCTTGGCTTCATAGTGCATTCCACGTTGTCTTGAGAGTCTGGAGACCCTGTCTCAAAACAAACAAACAAACAAACAAACAGACAGACAAACAAACTGAATCCAAGAAACTTTACAAGCCTAGCAGACACCCTAATGCTTCTTTCCTAGCACTAAAGAGTTCTGCAGCTGACTTGGTAAGATGAATGTATAAATCAGTGTAGCATCGACTGTGATAGACACGGTGAACTGTTCAAACCACTTGGCTCGGCACATTCATGTTGTTGTCTTCATACCAGCCAGTCTAGTAATTGAAAGGTAAATTTGGTCTTAAATGGCAGATTGAAGGAATTTTGAACCAAATCTAGTGAGAACATTAGTGACCTCGATTCACATAAATTAGGAAAATGCACTGCACACTGAGGAGGACGTCCTTGACTTTTGAGCAGTCTGTAATGATTAATCCACTTGCCAAGCTGCAGGTCACCGATACCTTCTTCCTTCACTGTCACCCAGGCCCTCAATCCGGAGGCTGGGATCAGTGCTGTTACCTACACCTGGATTCTTTCTCCAAGTCTGTGTCTGTCAGTGTCCTGTACCTCCACCAGTCTTCACCCCTCCCTCACCTCTGTCTTTCATTTGTTTCTGGATCTTGCCCTGAAACTGAGCCCTACATTGGCAGTTGCTGCAGTTCCGTCCAGGACCTTGGTCATCTCTTAAGTAAGTGCTTACTCTGCGTGTCTCATAGACCATGTCTGACCTGCCCTTTTTCCATGTCTGGCAGATCTCTATTTGGGGGCCCTGGTTTTCCATCTGCCTTTGCATTTTCCCAAGAGGTTCTTAGCATGGAAAGGAAGACAATTCCTTCCACACAGATGATATCTACTCTGAGGACGATGGCATTTATGGAGCTTAACCAAAGCCTTTCTAGTCTAATGTTAAAAATGTTTATAAGGGACTGGAGGGATGGCTCAGTGGTTAAGAATACTTGCAGTTCTTCCAGAGGACCCCAGTTTGATTTCCAGCACCCACATGGAGGCTAACAACCATAACTTCAGTTCCAAGGGAATTGAAGCTCTGTAAGCTTTCCATGACACGGGTGCAATTACATACATGTGGGCAAAACAATCATACACATAAAAAATAATAAATAAAATATTAGACAAAAGTCGGTTCTAAGTTAGTGAATTTTATCCCAAAGTAGGGTTAGGGTTGTATGTAGAAAGATTCTCTCTCTCTCTCTCTCTATCTCATTTTTAAAGTGTGACTCCAAAGTTTTTGGTTGTTTCAAAAGACAAAATCTATCTCCAAATCTACCATGAGGTGCTGTTGCTGGGGCTGTTCAAAAGAATGTGAAACAGGAGTATGTCAGAAAGCACGTTAGTGGGAACTGATTTGGAACAGGCCATGGGAGGAAAAGGTCATCAACTCGCATAATCGCTCAGGATCTGGATGATAAGATTCATTTTCATAAAATGGTATGTTTGTAAAGAAGATGTGACTTTAAAGTCATCGTGGGTTATGGTGGCCATTGGAAAGAACTAGGTGTGAATTCTCATTTGTTCTCTTAGATGAAAAATTTTTTTCATCTTTTTGAGACAGGATCTCCTGGTAGCCACAGATGGCTTGGAACTCACTATGTAGATCAAGCTGGCTTTGATCTCACAAGGCTCCTCCTGCCTCTGCCTTGTGAGTGCTGGGATTAAAGTTGTGCACTGCCATGCTTGGTTAGATGAGTAGTTTTGATAATCCTAAAGTTATAAACCTGGAGGAAATGTCTATCTCCTCATTTTAAAAATGACCTCAAATAGTTTGGAGATGAAAAACTGTATACATGAATAGCTGGGTACATGGTAAGGATACAACAATGGCAGTCAGTGAAGTGAAAGGCTACAGTGTCCACAGCTCTGCTGGAGACCATCTACCATGAGCTGAGAGGGAAAGTCAGTGTAGCTGAGCAGTCATTGTGGAAACTTCTACCATGCAAAGAACTGAAGACTTCAATTCTACTGAATGCTCTGCCCAACACATCTGAAGGCCTGGTATCAGTTTTCTACGGGGCAAGAGCCAAGAGCTGGCTCACACGTTCAGGTACTTTCAGATATATACATACATGAATGTTTTTCTTATTGGTAGAATAATGCTCCACAGAACAGAAATAAAATTGAATTTCATATTATTTGAAATGTGAAGCTATGGTTACTGCTTTTTATAATTCCATTCCATGTACATTTTTCTTTTTAAAAAGCTTTATTTTATTTTTAAGTGTGTGTGTGTTTGTGTGTGTGTGTGTGTGTGTGTGTGTGTATGTTTGCATGTAAAGATTCCTACAGAGGCCAGAATTGGATATTGAATTCCTCTGGAACTGGAGTTCTAGGGAGTTATGAGCCGCCTGATAAGGGTGCTGGAAAATGAACTCGGGCCTTTGCAAGAACAGTATATGCTCTTAACTGCTGCGTCATCTCTCCAGCCCCCATGTACATTTTTTACATCAAAATCTCTTCCATAATGAGCATAAGTCAGTTCTCCAGAAAAGTGATGCTGTTTAGAGAGTTTTAAAACATAAGGAGAGGTTCGCTACCTATTTTAATTTAAATATTTAAATATTAATTTAAACATTTATCTTGTGCAACAACTAAAATGTACTAAAGGGATGAAGTGTTTAAATACCAATAAAATGAACGTAAAGTGTATGTCAATAAGTAGAAGACAAATAAACATAAAATATAAATTATAATAAAATTTCTATGGTTAAGAATATTTCATCAGCTAGGTGTCATGGCTCATGCCTCTAATCCCGGCACATAGGAGGCAGAGACACGTGGTTCTTTGTGAGACAGAGTCCAGTCAGGTCTACTGGTCAACTGGGGCTACAGGGAGATACTATCTCAAAAAAAAAAGTCAGGTCTACTTGGTCAACTGGGGCTACAGGGAGATACTATCTCAAAAAAAAAAAAAAAAAGAAAAAGAGAATGTTTTATCAAACTGATGTTAACTTTTCAAGATCTTTCCTGGACTATAACACCCACAAAAAATAAATACAGGAGACTCCTTCACACATACCACTTTAAAACCTTAAGGAAAATTCGATATAGTTATTTACCTAAAACAGATCTACCAAACTTATTTATGTTTAATGCTCCTAAGAAGCTGATATATTTTTGGATGGAAGTACAATTTGGGTTAGGTTAGCCTGCTGAGGATAGTTAAATAAAAAACTACACAGCAACAACATAAAAACAAGTTCAGTGAACAAAAATGGTATAAAGTGGTATAGGTACAATGATTACTGGGTGTTTTGAACTATTCTTTTCTCCCAGAGGAGCAACAGATTTCCCAAGCATCCCAAATTATCTTGAACTTGCTTTAAAACAACACTAGAGAAAAAGTCTTTGCATTATAAGTTATACATTCCACTCAATGGCTGTGCAGTCCCATTGCGAGCCAGGACATCAATATAGCTACCAAAATATAAACAATGGATAGTGGTTAGAAAGCTTCCAAATGTGGAAGTTAGCAGAGATTTAGAAGCTAGTCTTTCCTTGGAAAAGCAAAAAAAAAAATAAAAATAAAAATAAAAAAAATCAACTATTATTCCTGGAGAAAGGCTACAGATTACTTGTATAAGTTCAAGGACAAGGTTAAAATGTTAGACAAATATTAATGCCAGTTTTTCTATATGCAGTGCACAGGTGCAACTTGAACAGCAGATTATGTGGTATAATCATTAAATTCATTCAACCAGACCTTAGAGAGTTAAAAACATATATCCTGAGGAACAGGACTCTTCGGTCCAAAGAATGGGAATGAAACAGCGTAGAATATTTGTGTATCAAGGTAATTCCAGTTTTCAACTGGGAAAACAGGACCGTTAACACCCACATCCCCTGACAACTGTCCAATTATGCATATCACACTTGGCCTACTGTTTGCGGTAGAAGTAATCAATAAAGGATGTGGTTGAGTGAACATAGATTTTGGTTGAACCAATGCATGAAAACTTAATCATTTACTCAGAGAGAAGAAATCAAATAGAGCAGAGATGAAGCAGCCGCCAAGGGGTTTGTTGATCGTGCCACCAAGTTTGTGGGCCACGGATGAAAATAATAAGGGAAATGGGATCAGCGACAGGAGAAAATGTAAAAAGGCCATTCTTAATTCCGTGAATTAATAGAAACGTTTCGGATGTATTTTGGGGGTCATTTTTAGCAAATTTCACTTTGAAGCCTGGATGTTCCATTTTAGAGAATATATGAAAATTACTAGGGCATGTCATTTCTCCCAAGCAAGAAGAAATTAATTTTCAGCTGTAATAGAAAGGCTGTTTTCACACTGGAAACTTTGTAGGGATTGATTTAAAGATCTTCACTATGGAAAATTTTCTAGGAAATAATTTAACTCATTTGTGAGAAAATTCATAATTGGTGTGAAATAAACCAAGAAAGGGATTAGTTGTGACCAATGTATCACAAACATAGTTTTGTGATTTTTTTTCTATGTTTTTTTTTAAAGTAGGCATCTGGATTATGCTGAGGAGTTGTGGCATTTCAGTGAAGGAATTACTTTAGTGAGCATATACAAATATATACATTTCATAAGGAAGATTAAGGGTTTTCCTCCCTCTGTATACCCTTGAACTGTTTGTCTCCATAATAATAATATCGACTTGGTAATTTCTCAACTCATTTTTTCTTTGTTTTATGAACCATAATGGTGGCTTTGATAGTGGTGACATAATGCAATTTCAGAACATCAATTCTTTTCTTCAGGATGACTCCATACTGAAGAAATGACACTGTAAATGCTCATTTTCTTTCTGCTGCTTAAACCCTTGTGCAGTGTATACTATTCGGACTAATAGCAAAAATAAGAAAACACATGCACTATTAAACAAACCCTTCCTGAGTAAGTAACACCAGGTGTGGTTGAGCATCACCAAGAGGGCAACTCCACATCACCAAATCCTGTCTAGAGACAATGTGGTGTGTTTTTCAATTGAAGGCTAAGTATAAATTCTTATAACCATTTTCGAATCTTCCAGCCTTAATGCTCAGTCACCTTTCATGCATACTCAGCTGATGGCTGTAGACACCCACTTATCCTAGGCATGGCTATCCTCTTCCATTTCCTTTAAAGAGATAAAACATGTTTATAGAGAAATGGCTGCTATTAGCGAAACTGGTGCCATCTCGAATGTTAGGGGAGAGATTTAGGGAGGATGCTAAGCTTCACACATACAACTTGATTTATTTCTCAGCTGTCACCATCATAATTTCCTCTATTTTGGCTGTGTTCTAGTTCTTGCATGCTGATGCTAAGCTGTAAAGAACAGTTGAGGACTGTCAAGGGGATAGTACATATGTACATGTGTGTTTGCATGTGTGTGCATACATGCTCATTAAAGTTAATATCAACTGCTTAAGGCAATAGTTTCTAAAACTGATCAAAAGATTTGACAGTTTAACAGATCTAATCAAATTAACTTGATCTAAATCAAAGCCTCTTAAAGATTCAGGGTGCTGTCGTATACTTTGTCCAGAATTTTTGGTTTTGAACATTTAAGAAATGTTACTATATCATATTATTGAATTGTTTTGCACAGATGTTGGAAGAATGTGGCAGGATTATGCTCCTCCAAACACTCCTTTGTATCAGCGCTGCAAAATGGTAGATCTGCCCTGGGAAGCTCAAGGCCCAGGACACTCTGTCCTATGACCCAAGCATCCCTGTGCTCCCTGTACATTGTATAACCCTAATAAGTTAAGTCCCCTTGTCTGCCATTGACAGCTTTATTGTACCATAGTAGAAGGGGTCTTTTATGAGTGGCATTAGTTTTATTTGGTATAAAGATAGAATTCAGACACACCTTCTCTGTGGAGGTGCAGGGCAGAGAAACGCCAGTGTCTTCCTCAGTCACTCTCCACTTCACTTTTTGAGACAGGGTCTCCATTGTGGAGCTCACCCATTTGATCAAATTAGTTAGCTAGCAAGCTCCAAAGATCCTCCTGTCTCCATATTTCCAGAACTGGGATTACAGGCACATACTACCATGTGTGACCTGATCTGAACTCAGGTCTTTATGCTTGTATAGCAAGCACTTTAGTGATTCTCCAGTCCCGAGAAGACAGGTTCCTCCATTATTTGTTTCCTTGGTAACTGAGAATCTCCATTCCTAAGAAAACCCCATTCCATTTCCTGGTTTGTCATGTACACCTGTATTCTTTCTGATTCCAAGCATTAGATTATTTGTGTTACCAAAATTAATCAGATGATCACTCAACTTTCCCCTTAACTTTGAATGGTTAGATGAGGAAAATACTCCAGATAAGACAAATGGTGAACAGTTGAAGATAATTTGAAGCCAACCTCAGAGTTTCAAAGAAAAAAGTGTAAAGACCACCAGTAGCTAAAGTCCATTGCAGTATTTATCCTGTGACATAGCAAAGGCTCAGTAAATGTTTGCAAAAGAAAATATTTCCCGGGCTGGAGAGATGGCTCAGCAGTTAAGAACACTGGCTGCTCTTGCAGAAGACCCAGGTGCAAATCGAACTACCCACATGGGGGCTAACAATCATCCATAACTCCAGGTCCAGGGAATGCGACGCCCTCTTTTGACCTCCTTAAGCATTGCATGACACGGGTGCACTCACATACATGCAGGCAATACACTCATACACATAAAATAAAAATAACAAGTAATTTTTTTTTAAAAGAAAACATTTCCCTCTGGACTTCCGCCTCTTTAGCTATGTGGATTACAATAGAAATTTCACTTTATAAGAATTATTTGATAAACAAGTTAAGGATTACAGTGATATCACTGTTCAAGCCTAGGCCAGGCTTGTCACTGCAAAGTAAGACGAGGAATCCAACTGTTCTCTTCTGATTTGGAACAGTGGTAAGGACAGGGGCAAAAAAATTAGTAATCAACATGAACTGGACATTAGAACACAGGGTTTCTAGTTCCAAACAGATACTGAGTACTTAACTAATCTCTTTTAGTTGTTATTTGGAAAGTAGAACTTTGAATATCTAGCTTGGTTGGTCTTCTGGGACTAGTTACCACGTGTATCTGGAGGGAGCACAGCGCTTACAGGTTATTTGCCTTCTTTACCTCTGGCTGGGCCCTTCCCTAACCAGTGAATGTCTATACTAGCTTCTTCAGTACGTCTTCCCCTAAGACATTTGTCCAGAAATGACTGAGTTTTAATTGGTATCTTATAGGACACCTTCCATTTCATTGGTATTGGTATTTTAAGTACTGATTTTTCTTTTAGCAATGATACTTACATAATGATTATACTTTTAGTTTATAAGGCATGTAAGCATTCCTTTCAGTAACAATCCCACCTTTCCCAGCACCATCCTGTATATATGTTTACCGTGGGATATAAATGTAAAGAATTTAGAATTTACCACATTTTGAATTTACTACCAACACTACTAATATTATGAACAGGCTATATTTTGGATAAAACATTGAAAACCAAGATCTTCACTTTGGTAACTTTTTGTATTGCTAGTGGCTTAAATCATAATTCTGTTCTATAATGAATTATTAACTAGAGCACACAATGGTTGCACTATAGTGAGGGGCAATCATGAACTTTTCCATCAAAACCTGTGTATCAAAAGCTGTTCATGTGTTCTTTAAACCAACTTTTCTGTTTTCAATGAAATGTTGTGAATATTAGTTTGGTGCCCAATTCTTTATCTAGGTATGCTCAGAGGAGAGATGTCTTAATGGAAGATGCACAGGGGAGGCTTAAATGGAAACTTCCCTTCAAGAAGTGCCCAGGAAGGGTTAGGCGAGCCACAGCCACTGAAGCGTACTACCTAGTACTGGGCTCTCTGTTTTCTTAACCTGTGAGATGTGACCTGATTTCCCCCCCTCCTTGGGCTTGTTCAAGGTCATCACTAAACTTACAGAAAACCAAAAAGAAATGAATACAAAGGAGGACTAGACAAAGAAGACTTTAGATACCTCTTCTTTAGATACCACCTTGGTTTAAAATAACTTATAATGAAAGGGTCACTTAAGAAGGGCACTGCTTAAAATTTAAGCAGGCAGTAATGGAAAGCGACAGACCTCAAACAATTTAAGTCTTTCACGGATGGGTGACTCCACGGTGACAGCAGGACAAAGGTGTGCTGACTTACCTCTGCAGGACCTTGGCGATCGCCTCATAGGCTCTCCCCAGGTTAAGATCATCACTCAGGTCTGTGGCAATCCCACTGTAATTATGAAACACCTAAGAGGGAGAAGAACGTGATGAATACGTAGTCCATCCACATCCATGGATGCTTCATTCATAACAGAAAAGATTACAATTAGTAGTTTTCTTAATGTCTCCTTTTTTTGCTTATTAAAAATTCATGCTGGCTTTGTTTATTTTTATCTGCAGTATGACTTGTTTCATGGCCATCTCTTTGAGCTGTGACAGTGAGGTCTTACTTTTGTAAAAATGATTTTTTTCTTGCACCACCCCAGTTCTCCAAATCTTTCCATTTATATAATGTAGGTGTGAATAAATAATTGAATGGTTTACAACATTATTTTAAAGGATGGGAACTATTACCTAAGGTAATATAAGGCAGATTACAATGTTCTGCTTTGGTAGTTTAAATAGCACTTTTCTTTCTATAAATAGCTCTTTGAAAAAAAGTGAATTGAGGTGATAGGTCCTTTCTAAATCTGTCATTTCATTAGATGCTTGTCTCCAGTGCTATGAGCACAGAGTACACACTAAAAATATTTCTTACAAATGTACTTCATTACCAAAAATCTCTTCAATAATCAAAAGATTACAGCTACCACAGCCAAACATATGATCTTAATTTAATTTAACACCGATATCACTGGTGTGCTATAATTTTCTTCTTTTCTATTTTTCCTATCTTTCCATGGTCAGGAGGAGAAAAATGCACAAACCCCAACTCCTTTCTTTCTTCCTTTATTGTTATGTGACCAAACGATTACATGAGGACACCGGAATCTCCACAGATGCCTATGGGAATCCTCTTTGCACATTTTCTAAAAAAGAATTAGTGAAAATCCCTTGATGGCATTTGAGAGAGTGAGCTAGCAGGGGCAGCGTGAGCAAATGCCCCGTGTACCCCTGAATTAGACAGCATGGACAGTTTAAGCACTAGGGCAGGATTGACATTCATCTTTATTCTTTGTCCTCCTATTTCTTTTATTCATATCCCTACACCACCTCCTCCCCACTGTTGGTCTCTTTCCCGGGACAGAGATGTCCTCTCCTCCCACCTGCTTTCATGTCCCGTTCATCTTTACTTCTTCAAAGTTAACATTTGAGTAACAGTTTCAATGAGAACATGGCGATCTCAGCAGGTTTCACATGGTTTAGAAGTGACTCCTGATGCTAAGATTTACCTGTGGGCACATATCAACTCCAGGATTTAGTTCTTGCTGAGCCTACAAAGTTATACATTTTGAAAATGTTTTAAAAATATTTTATTATCTTTATTTTATGTGTATGAGTATATTGCCTGCATATGTGTAAGTGCACCTGTGTCACCCAATGCCTGAGAAGGTCAAAAGAGTTGTTGAATTTCCATGGAACTGGAGTTACAGATTATTGTTAGCCAGCATGTGGGAGCTGGGAATAGAATCTGGGTCCTTTGGAAGACCAGCAAGTGTTCTTAACTGTTGAGCCATCTCTCCAGCCCCTTGAAAGTGTTTTTATTCTTGAAATTTTTATTAGTTTTAATTGACAAGTAATGATTGCATTTATTTGTAAGATGCAGTGTGATGGTTTGGTCTGCATATACTTGTAGAAAGAGTCTACCTGCCATTTCTTCAGCTTGTTATTGTCTTATGATCAGAATGCTAACAAACAAACAAAAATAATGTTCAAATGTATTCTTTTAGCACTTTTAAAATCTCTATGTGCATGTGTGTGGGGAGAGGGAGTACATATGAAATGGCATGTGTGGTGGTCAGAAGACCACCTCAGGCTTCAGGTTTCACTCCTCATCTTCCACCTTATTTGAGACAGGGTCTCTTATTGATCTCCACTTGTATGCACCAGTTTAGCTGGTCCAAGTGCTTGCAAGGATCCCTTGCTTCTGGCTCCCATCCTGCCATAGAAGTACTAGGATTACAGATGCACACAACCACCTCATGGGTTCTGGGAATCTGAACTCAGGACCTCACATTTGCACAGTAAGCCCTTTACTCACTGAGCCATCTCTCTAGCCTTCTTTTATCAATTTTGAAATATAATACATGATTATTAACCTTGATTTTTATTTTTAGTTCTCTTAATGAAGCTATGTATAAACCAGATAATATTGTTTTCATTCTCTCTACAGAACTGACAATTTCCCGATTGAACCTGATGTGACTTCAGGTAGGTGGAAGGCAGAAGCCCTGAATTTTCTGAATTTATAACAGACCTTACTGCACTGATGTATAAAAATATTTCGTTTAGGAAGAGACTTTATAGAGCCTTTTTTTGGCCTACATCTTTTCAGAAGATATTCTAAAATCTGAAAGTAAAGGCTGAATATTAATACATTTTATGTCAAAAATAGTTCTTTTTTTTTTCAGCAGAAGCTATCACCATGTCCCAGGCACTATGCTGGATCCTAGGAAATCTTACAAACATGACTTGCTTGCAATATTCAGAGCATTTACAGCCTATTGGTACAGGCTTTGGACTGATACAGCTATGGGGATTAGAAATATCCCAAGGCAGGTTTCTCCAGGGCATAGACTGGGCTTACACAGTGACACTTTCCTCTGTCCCTGGCCACTATATAGCTTCCTCATGGAGATAGATGTGATCTCCTAAGATGAGCACTAACCTTTCTCTCTCTCTCTCTCTCTCTCTCTCTCTCTCTCTCTCTCTCTCTCTCTCTCTCTCTCTCCCCCTCTCTCCACCTCTCCCCCCCTACCTCTCCCCCACAGG